GGTTCAAGTCCCAGCCCAAGCCGAGCAGCCGCTGAGCTGCCAACAGGTGACAGGATGGCTCAGCTGGTGAGAACATGTGCTCCTAACAACAAGGTTGCTGGTTCGACTCCTGCATGGGATGGTGGGCTATGCCCACCCACAACTAAAATTGAACATGGCACCTTGAGTTGAGATGCCCTGAGCTGCCGACGGGCAGCCGGATGGCGACTAGACTTGGAGCTGAGCTAGCTGCGCCCTCCACAACTAAGACTGAAGGACAACAACTTGGCTGTTCCCCTTCCCCAATTCCACAATAAAATCTTTAAAAAAAAATAAATCAGAACCCCCCTTGTTAGACAAGCGGGGAGGAGCACGACGGTGCCTTCTAAGGGTTCCCAGGGGCTCCTAAGCACAGTTAGAAACTCACTGCTCTACAATTCCTGCTTTAAAAAAATACCAGGGGTGCCAAAAAAACGTATACATATGACCTGCATTCACCTTTTGTTATCGGTATATATTGAGTTTAACACAATTTTAATAGTTTTTTCCTATCTTAAAATGTGTATCCTTTTTGGGGGCTCCCTCTATAGTAATAATAATGGCACTGGTTCACTTATTATTGTGGGTGAAAATCACCAGTCCCATGGGCACGGTTATTATTGTGCTAACTATCCTAAGACCAAGAACTTTGTCCTGCCCACACCTTCCTCACAGAATGTGGTCAAGGGAGGCATCAACCAACGTGACCAGGAAAAGCGTACGGGTTCCGCTTAATGCTTGCAGGCCACTGATGGGGCGTGTTGGGCTCTGGGCGCTTGTTAGTGACATTCTGTGATTCTGTAAGCTAGTCTGCCTAGTCCACAGGCCACATCCAACCAGGTGGCTTCTGCTTAAACTTACTCTTCGGCTCTCTCTCCCTTCCCTCGCTCTACAAATTGTGCTGTGAATGACAGCGGGCTGGTGGGGAGCTCTGAGCATGCAGACCACCGTCTCAGAGGGGGCCTGTGTGCTGGTTCACACACGGTCCCGCATGCTGTTCCAAGCCCTGAGAATTCCACAATGAACATACCAGACAGAACCCTGCTCTCGAAGATACTGCCTTGAAGTGTGTGAGTGGGAATGGAATGAAAGGGTGGTCAGAAAATGCCTGTCAGATAAGGGGACCTGTACACAAAACCTACTGATGTGGTGGAGGTGCCCGGCCACAGACACTGGGCTACGACCGTTCCCAGTGGAGGGCACGTCGAGGGCAAATACGGGGAGGCAGAGGCATGCCTGATGGGCAGTGTGGCTGCAGCCGGTGGGGGAGGGGAGAGGGCCAGAAGCAGGGGTCAGGGCTTAGCAGACAGATCATATGGGGCCTGAGGATGAGGGCAAGGACTGTAGGATTGACTCTCAGGAAGCTGAGAAGCCTTTGGAGGTTCTGCGCAGAGGAGTGGCATGCTCTTGCTCACCTTTCAATGTCAAGCTAGGTACCTTGTCAGGGTTTAAGAGCGCCCCTCGAAAGCACTCCATCCTGCACAACGGGTCTGCATTTCACAGGGCCCCAGGAACCAACAGGCACTCCAGGCTCCCCAGGACCCCATTCCACCCCACCTGCCTCACTTCACATCTGACATCCCAGGTCTGGCCCCTGAGGGGATCAGAGTGTGAGAGCCCTGCTGGGACCACTCCCAGATTGTGTTTCTGCAGGGAACTGCTACTCACAGCGGCCGTGGGGAGCCTCTGCGTGCAGGCCACAGGGAGCCGCAGCTTCCAGTCCGTCTCCCCATCCAGCTGATCCGTCCTCAGAAAGCAAGACCCTGTGGAGGGAGGTTGGGCACCATCTACTCACCTGCACTTCAAGAAGCCTCCCGGTGGCAGCTCTGGGCAGCTCCTGCACTAGTCCTTGTAAAAATAGCCAATCAATGGCCAGCGACCAAAAAGGGAAAATAAATACCCAATTTCCCACTTCCTCCGTAAGCGCTAGGGTCAGAGAGACCTGGGTTCAAATCCTCCCTCCACTGCTCACTCAGTGGGAGCCTGGACTAGCTCCTTGGCCTTGCTAAGTCTCGAGGTGTCCTGTCATTAAAATGGGGAGAAATGCAGACCTCACAAGCTTGTCGTAAGGACTCGGTGGGTGACAGAACCCCCCACAAGGTGACTGGCATGGGGTAACCAGCATTCGATTCTGGTTTGGACAAGAGTAATAAGCACCTTCTCAGGAACCAGACCTCCTGGGTTCAAGTCTGGGCTCCACCACTCACTAGCTGTGTTCCTCAAGTGTAAAAAGGAAGATAATAATAGCACCAGCCTCACGTGGACCTGTGCAAACTGCTCAGATCACAGACAGCACTACATAAATATCCGCTGCTGTTACTGGCTTGCACCCTGGACCCACCCATAATCCAGTCTGATGTACACGCCAGAGCCACAGGTCAGCTACATATGTCATCAGACAGAATATACTGAACTCGATGGCACTGCAGTCAAGACTTCGGAGAACTCTTCAGGAAGAACACGTCTCATCATTCGTTCGTTTGTTTGTTTGTTTGTTTGTTTACAGGGAGAGCACATCAGGGACCCTAATCCATCATACTCCATTTTCACTGACTGGGACACAAGAACCAATCTGAAGGCAAAGCTGCAGCTTTTGAAAGACAACTTTTAATCTAGTCCCTTCC